TTAGTTGATTTATTTATATCTAATGTGAGTTTAATTTCACTATTTAGTTTGCATTTCCTGAAGACCAGTACCGAGGAGGATTTTTTCATGTATTTATTTGCCAATTGTATTTATTCCTCTGATAAGTGTGTGCTCATCTCAGATGCCAATTTTTGGATTGGGTCTTTGAATTTTTGAGGCCTTATTTTTTTTTTTTAGTTCTCTATATATTCTACATAAAAGTTCTTTGTCTGAGTGGTTGTAGGTTAAGAATTTTTCCCAATTCATGGGTTGTCTTTTCAGTCTGTTGATGATTTCTTTTGTTGTACAGAAACTTCTCAATAAAATGAGATCCCAGTTTTTGATTCTTTGAAGAATCTCAGTACTTGGATTTTTATTTATAAACTCTGCTTACCCTGTTTTTTTCAAGATGTCCACCTACTTTCTTTTCCTGTGGATTTAGTGTTTCATTTTCATGGTTTAAATATTTAATCCGTTTTTATGTTAGTTTAGTGCATGATGATAAACCTGTGTCTAGTTTTAGTTTTTGGCATGTGGAGAGGGACTGTTTCCAGCACCATATGTTAAAGAGGCTATCTTTCTTCCAGTGAACATGGTTGGCTCCTTTGTCAGAAAAAAGGAGGCTGAATGTGTTTGTAGCTGTATTTACATATTCTAATCTGTTTATTCATTCTCCATTCTGTGTTTCTGCTAATACTGTGCTGATTTAATCACAGTGGTTTTGTAGTATAATTTCAATCATGGATTGTAATGTTTCCTGCCTTGATTTCCTTGCCGAGAAAAGCCTTTGACATTCTATGTCTTTTCTTGTTCCAAATAAATTTTGGGACTGTTTTCTCTAGATCTGTGATGTACATTTATGGTATTTTGATAGGGATGGGATTAAATCTGTATAAGACTTTGAGGAGTATGGCCATTTTTACAAACTTGGTTCTTTCTATCCATGAGCAAGGAATATCTTTCCATTTTCTGAAACCCTCGTTAATCTCTTTTTTCAGAGTACTATAATTTTTATTGAATAGATCTTTTGCTTCCTTCATTAAATTAATTCTTAAGTATTTCATTGTTTTGGATGCTATTATAAGGGTATTGTTTCTCTAATTTCTCACTAAGTGAATTTCTTATTTGTGTAGAAGCATTATACTGATTTTTGGATGTTGAATTTATATCCTGTTATGCTACTCAATTTGTTTATTTATTCTAGGAGCTGGTGGAGCTTTTTAGTCTTTCATGTAGAGTATCTTGTTGTCTCAAGACAATGATAGCTTCACTTCTTGTTTACTTATTCTTTTACCTTTTATTTCTCTCTCTTGTCTAATGGCCCTGGCTAATGTTTTCAGACCTATGTTGAATAGGAGTGGTGAAAGTGAACATCTTTGTCTTGTACCTAATTTGAGAGTACAAGCTTTTAGTTTTTGTCCATTTAGAATTATGTTGGTTATTGGATTGTCATAGTTGGCTTTTATCAGATTGAGGTACAGGGCATCTATTCTAATTTTCTGTATGATTTTGATCATGATTGAGAGTTGGGTTTGTCAAAAGCCATTTCTGTATCAATTGAGATGATCATGTGGTTTTTGGTTTTGGCTCTTTTTATACAGTGTGTTACATCTATATATTTGTGTAGTTGAACCATCCTTGCGTCCCTGTAGTGAGTCCTACCTGATCATGGTATATAACTTCTTGATGACTTGCTGTTTTCTATTTCCTAGTATTACATTCAGGAAATTTACATGTTTGTTAATGAGGGAGATTGGGCTGCAATTGTTTTTTTTTTTGTCGAGTCTTTCTCTGATGTTGGTATGAGTATAATACTGACCTCCAGGAATGTTTTTTGTGTATTGCTTCCTTTTCAATTTCATTGAAGTCTGAGGAGTATAAGAAGTAAATCTCTAAATGTCTTGTAGAACTCAGCTGTGAATCCATCAGAACCTGGGCATTACTTTGTTGGTAAATTTTTATTACATTTTCTATTTGATTTGCTGATACTGTGTTATTCAGAGTTTTTACATCTTTTTGATTAAGTTTTGGTAATTTATACCTATCTAGGAATCTGTCCAATGCTTCTGTGTCTTCAATTCTGTGAGAGTAAAGATTTTCACAATAGCTAATGATCTTCAGAACTTCTACCAGATCAGTGATAATTTCATCCTTTTCATTCCTTATTGCTTGAATTTGAGCTTTTTTCTTCCTCTTTTTGATGAGGTTGGCTACAGGTTTATCAGTTTTATTTAATCTTTCAAAGAAAAAGCTCTTTTATTCATTAATTCTTTGTTTTGTTTGTTTGTCTCAATTGCATTAATTTCTGCTCTAATCTTTATAACTTTCTCCTGTTTGGGGGATTTGGGTTTCCTTTGGTCTTCTTTTTCTAAAAGCTTGAGGTATAGCACTAGAGTATTTATTTGTTCTTGTTCTGTTGTCTTAACATGTGAATTCACCACTATATATTTCCATTTGAGGACTGTTTTCATTGCATCCCACCAGTTCCAGTAAACTGTGCTTTAATTTTCATTGGATTGTAGAAATTGTTTAATTTCTTAATTAGTTTCATCTATAAGCCATTGGTTGCTAAAGAGGATGTTATTAAACTTCCATATATCTATGGAGTTCGGGTGGTTTGTTTTGTTACTAATTTCTAGTTTCATTGCACTGGGGTCAGATAATATGTGTGGTATAATTTCTGTGTTCTTGCATTTACTTAAGCATGATCTGTGGACTATTATGTGGTCTATTTTAGAGAACCATGTGCAGCTGTAAAGAATGTGTATTTTGATGATGTTAGTTGGAACACTCTGTGTATGTCCCCTAAGTCCATTTGTTCAAAGTTATGATTCAGTTTTGATAACTCTTTGCTAATCTTTTGTGTACTTTAGACCTACGATCCAGAAATAGCACCTAACTGAGCAGGATCTGAGCCAGCACAAAATATGGTAGGTAATCTCCCATCCTGCAGCATATGTCAAACAGATTCTGAGTCATATGATTCTGGAATGAAAGTCTTGCGAGTATGGGGACAGGGCTTACTGTAGCCTAGGAACAAAGGGACATCCTAAAGCTAGCTGTGAGTGTGACACTGAGAGAACTGCTGACTACCCATTCCATACATTACACCTAAGCTAAAGCATAGAAATCTGAAGTTTGTGATCCATTCACTGCAGACTTTCACAGAAACAATAATATATGGATGACCTGAATAGTCATATTCCTTTCAAGAAAGAGAAAGCTTCATTAGTAGCCTAACAGAGAGCTAAAAACACAGATGATGCTAGCAAATCGAACCACATATTCAAAGACTAAATAGCAAATCTACAAAAACTAGCCAAAGCATGAAGACAGAATTAATAATTTCCAAGTCATTCTGGATGAAATTTACAGAACAAAATTATCAGCTATTTCTTAGGTAAAATCAACAGATAGGAGTTGAATTCATTTTCACAGCATGAGTTCAGAAAAACTCCTGTATCTATAATTACAGTATCATAATAGGTTTTACTAAAACAATTTCAAGTTCAGGACACAATGTTAACTTACAAATTCCTGCTAAGAAGTTTCAACATCATATTTTCTATTGAAATGGCCACAAATAGATTTTTATAAGCATATACTGCCAAGATAAGTGACATAAAATATATGAAAAGAGAGCTCTGAAGCCAATATTTTTAAACTTTGTACTTGCAATATAAAAACTTCAAAAATTTGATGATGAAACTATTACTACAAAATGAGGACTCTGTGAGATTTCAAAAGCATATTTTTACTTGAACCCTTTCCACACATGTTGTTAGTCATATCACATGGACCTTGACAACACTGACTGACCTTGTATATCTACAGTCTTATTAAAATGAACGAAAACCCACATAGGTCCTGGAATATCTTTGGGATTTCCTCACTCAATAAAAGTAAGATTCCACTTGAAATGATAGAAAGAAAGAAAGAAAAAGAAAGAAAGAAAGAAAGAAAGAAAGAAAGAAAGAAAGAAGAAAGAAAGAAAGAAAAAAGAAAGAAAGATCTGAAAGACTAGATTATTTCCAAGAAGGTGTCAGTAATTTTGAATTGAGTCTATAGATCAGTAATAGTAAACCTTTTAGAGCTTTTGATACCAAATAGCCTGCTATGACACATGCACCATAGGTTTACCACCACTACTATGTATTTATGGATCAAAGGAACAACATAACACAGTTTTAAAGTGGAAAAGACAAAAAATGTACTTGTCAAGATTCTGTAAATTTTGTTCCTGGTAGAAACCTTTACATGTAAAAATCACACTCATAGTATCACTTTCAGATATTTGACATTAATGAGCACAGTCAAGTATTATATTATTGGGTCAGGGAGGCAGCTCAGCAGTCTAAGTGCCTGTTTGCCAAGCATAATGACCAATATTTGATCCCCAATACCACACACCATGCCAGTCCCAAAACCGGGAATGGTGGCAGAACACGCCTAGAATCCCAGCAGTAAGGAGTCTGACACAGGAGGATCACTATGAGTCCAAGCTGCATAGTGAGACCCTATTCCAAATAAATAAATAATTTTTTAAAAGAATGACATTTTCAATAGTGGGTCTAGGCATATGGAAAACACTACAGGCCTAATCATCTTAATACAAATACTAATCAAGAAATCTGCCATTTTGGCTTAAGGTTAAGCTATGGAAGTTGTTACATTTTTCTGTGGATTTATTTTCTTCTTTGTCTTGTTTAAAGTTACTCATACTGAAAACGTGTGGTCAAAATGGAAGTAGTACAAAGTGTTGATTTTTATCACATTAGAAATCAGAAAAATTTATAAAAAGTGCAACACCAAAGAATGCTTTATTTAAATACATCAAATGAACTTGACTTTCCTTTTCTTAGTTTGAAAAGTTCAAGCAGTCTCCAGAAAAGCTATTGAGCATCATCCTTTAAAACAGGCTGGCGCACTTTCAAAATCGCTATCAAATTTTTGTCACTCTTTTCCAAAATATAATTGCTTATAAATAATAAATCTCTGTTTTATTCCTTTGAAAACATTTTCAACGCTCGTTCTCTAATCTGTTTGGTTCTCACTCCATAAATTACAGGGTTCAGAGCAGGTGGAATAACTACATAAAAATTGGCAAGAAGGATGTGAATGTATCGCGGTACATTTTGGCCAAATCGGTGAGTCATGAAGGAGAAAAACGCAGGAGTGTAGAACGTCAACATGACGCAGACATGAGATCCACAGGTGCTGAGTGCTTTGAGACGGGCTTCCTGAGAAGAGAGTTGAAATACAGCACGAAGGATCTGGACATAAGAAATGACAATAGCTATGATGTCACATACCAGGATAGAGATGGCACATAAGCCATAGATCATATTCACCTTGATACTGGCACAAGCCAGGCGGGCAATGCCCATATGCTCACAATAAGTGTGTGGAATGATTTGATGCCCACAAAATGGTAACCTTAGGATAAGTAGAACAAAGGGGATGGCAAAAGACAGGGGTCGCAGTAAGATTACACACGCAATGACAATTACAACCTTGTTTGTCAACACCAATGTGTAACGAAGAGGGTTACAGATGGCCACATAGCGATCATAAGCCATGGCTACCAGCACGGCAGACTCCATGCCAGTGCACAGGTGGATGAAGAACATCTGGATGAGGCATCCCTCAAAAGGTATTTCTCTCAGGTTAAGCCAAAAGATGCTGAGCATCTTAGGAATGGTGGATGTGGACAGACCCAGGTCAATAGATGACAAAATGGCCAGGAAGTAGAACATGGGCTGATGGAGAGTGCGTTCAGTCTGAATCACATAAAGGATGCATAGATTTCCAAGTGCAGCTGTCAGGAACACAGCAAAGAAAGGAAAACCAATCCAGAGATGCATGCGCTCCAGTCCAGGGATCCCCAGCAGAAGGAATGAGTGGGGATGACGTAGGGTGGTGTTAAGTGAGGCCATCCTTCTTTGTTCTCTTTATACAAGGAAATATTGGGCCAAAAGCCACTCATTCATTGAGTGATTTAAATTTTGTTTAATGTGCAGAAAAAATGAAGAAATCAGACAAACTGTTATCATAGTTATGTAAATAACTGCATCATAAAGGATTAAAAGTACATAAACACTGATGATAATTGTGGGCTCAAATTTAACACACTTAACCACACCTGTTCAATTAAATTTCATTATTTCAGTTCAACCAACATTTGACTAATACATACTTTTCACATTCTATGCTACCATTGATTGGAAAAGATGAACCAGACAAAATTCCTTTTCCAGTGAACTTAGCTGTTGAAAGTTAGTGTTAGCAGCTGTAACAGCAAGGTAATAAAATATTGTTAAGGCACATTGCTTCATTGGTAGTTTAGATGCACAAAAATCTGCTGAAGTTAAATCATATAGAAGACTTGTTTAATTTTCACTTTAGACTTTAGGTACAAAGAATTGGAGGTATTTTAAACAGAACAGATATTGTGATTGTACAAATATCTCATTTCTGTGCTCAGCAAATAAAATTCAGTTTTCAAAGGAACTGCTAAGCACACTGGAAATTTTCAAAACAATTTTGAAAGCTTGTAGGGATCCTAACGTTTAACTTCCCTAAGCAATTTCCCATTCATAAGTTTGTCCTAATCTTTCATTTTCATTGGTCTCAAAACCAGATGAGCATGCTACCTTGAGATGCTAATAATGCAGCCGCAGTAAGACTTGAGATTTAGCCAGCTTTTGATCACTTGCAAAACATACCTGAGATAAATCAACTTCAAGGGAAAAATTATTTTTTTTTCAGTTCACAGTTCCAGAGTTCTTAATCCATTCACAGCAGGCTCTGCTGCTGTTAGGCTAGTGATGGGGCAGAATATAATGGTATAGGAAGAAACAGTGGAGTGAAGTTATTCACTTCATGGCAGCCAGGAAGTAAAGAGACCATAGTGTGCCCCATGTAACTGCTTCCTCCAATCAGGTCCTACCTCTTGGAGTTTATGCCACTTCCCAATATCCCATCAAGCTATAAATGTATCAATAGATTAATCTGTTGATATTGATAGTCTTCATGATGCAGCCCTCTCTGAAATATTCCACCTGTGTACAGTGATGTATTATGGAACAAGACTTGAATAAGTGAGCTTATAAAAACATTGTTAATGTTCCAAAGCATAAAATCAGGATATTGAATTTATACTGTGCTTATGAAGGAGTGTACATATCCCACTTCATTTCTGACCTGATGATAGGCTTCTGCATTTTCCAGTCTTCCTGTTGGCAATAAGAGTAAAACACAGATTTATATTCATGCTCACCTTAAAGCATTAATGTGCAAGATATCAATGGTGGCTGGAAAAGTGGGCTAATCTGTATATACTACTCTTTGATACTAAAACTTTCATCTAACCATTATTTCAAAATTTTATTGGGATATATCCTCTAATAAAACCAAGCACACAGTGATGCCGAGCTCTTTCTCTTCCACACTCGTATGAGCATGAGCATGCTTGTGTGTCTTGAGTGTTTTGGAAGGCTAGGCTGCAGCTTGCTTCCTGGCCAAATTCTTTAGAACAAATTTTCTAGTAGGTGAAAAAATGAGACAGCAAAATTTGATTACAATAATTGGTCTATAGACAATAAACTAGTACATGTAGAAACTAAAGAGGAATTCCAAAAAGGAAATAATAACTACTCTGAAGACTCTCCCTAATTTGAGCAAGAATAACTATATGCAAGAAGTGGTGCTTGTATTAAAGAACACAGAGAGAGAATGTTGTGGATAATTATCTACAATAGGATTTTCTTCTTTGTGGCAGGTTTAATTAACTTAACAAATCTTAGTGCATATAAATGATACTAACTAGAAACAAGCACAAGGATTAAATCCAAGCTCTGTTGCTCATTGACATAGAATACTTTTTCAGGATGGTGTGATGGGAGAAAAATAATTTTGTTTCTCTGAACTAAGATTCTTCACTCATAAAGTGAACCTAATAAATGTTTGCAATGAGGGAATTTTCTTTCAAGGCATGCCTGAAGCAAAATATTTCTTAGGATAGCCAGTAACTTAGATTTAGGTTTAAATCTACCTTAGAGTTCAGTACTGGCTACAATGGTCTTTCAAACATAATGAAGTAAAAATCTATAATAAACCTCATTCTGACATAGCTCCACTTATCAAGTAGTCATTAACAGTGTTATTGGGTATTAAATCCTAACCCTTACACTATGTAAATACTCTGATATCTTTACAAATTGTGCCCAACACATAGAGTTTAATTCATTATAAATGATTACCTTCTACCTTCTACTTGGGGAAAACAAGTAGCTTCCTCAAGTTTTAATAGGCTGTAGCTGGTAAAGAATAATAATAATATTTTTCTTTTGCAGAACCAGAGATTGAACTCAGGCCCTTGTGCTTGCCAGGGAAGCACTTATTCCGCTGAGCCATCACCCCGGCCCTAAGAATAATTATTCATAATTTAATCTAAGGTTATGAATGCCTGCCACATGTAAACACAGATTGGTGTGCAATTATTTAATCAACTGAAATTGCCTTATAAAGAATGAAATAAATTTTAAAGTGAGGAATATTCTTCAAACATGAGAAGAACAGGATCTAGTTCAGTGATAACCCACAGTACCCTTTTCTCAGCCATAAGACTTTTCATTTCTTCTCCCTTTTATATCATCTACTGCATGTTTGTTTGTGCTCAGAAAGTCATAGATAAGAACCTATACTTGTTAAATGGTACTTACATTTTAAGGATAAACAACTGGAGGAATCAGTATATCTCTAATATCATTCTTTGAACTGCACTTGCTTGAAAAAACAGTGTTTTGTACTGTGGAAACAATCTCCAGAGTGACTCCTTAGGCACACTCTGGGGAAAGAAGGGCCCTCAATGTCTGGAAATCAGAGTTAACCCTTTCTTATTCAATTAAATTGTAGGGATGGGAGAAATGGCTCAGTAGATTAAGTGCTTACCTGGCAAGCGCAAGGGCCTGAGTTCAACCCCCGGTTTCATAAATCATCTTAGAGTTGTGCAAGCACAATATCAACTCAGCATTTACTATAATGATAGAATTATGAAGTAAGGAAGCCATGAGTCAATATTTAATGTTATCCCAAAGGAGAGAAAATTAAAATAATTTTGCATCACCCTGAGATCTGTCATGTGATTTCATTGGATATTTTCTGTTGTTAATGGAACTAGAGAAATAAATGGAGAAGACATAGACTAGTCCTATTTTCATAATTTTCTATCTGACAACTTACATGAGTGCCTTAACTCTTAATCTCCAAGGTTGAAAACTGTAATTATTTTTATTTTATCACAAATGTATTTGTTCTTATATTTCAAAATGTTTGATATTCAGATAAAATTATACTAATAAAACTATATTATACTACTATAAAGCACAAAGTATGATATATATATATATATATATATATATATTTCAATTTTTAATTAAAATGTGCTTATATGGGACTGGGGAGATAGTTTGGCTGCCTAAGTGCCTCCCTGACAAGCACAGGGACCTGGGTTCAATTCCCAGCACTGCATGCCACCAAAACAGGCGTAGTGGTGCACACCTGTAATCCCAGCACTGGGGAGGCTGAGACAGTAGGTCACTATGACTCAGAGCTGTGGAGTGAGACCCTGGACCAAGCAAATAAGTAAAATAATTTTGAAAAAAAGTACTAATATATGACATATCCACAACAAATTAATATATAGATAAAATTAATTATACTAAATAACACGCAGATTACTTTAATATAGATGTTATTAACAAATAACCTAACAAAATAATAGAGATCACTGAAGAACACTTTACTCAAATGTTATAAAAAATAAAAGGAAAGATGGGAGAAAAATTGTTGTGCACAGCATTAAAGGTGATTTCACCACTAACACACGTATTAGGTCAAGCATTATCTCTGACATTAGTACAGAGTTAAGGTTCATTCCTATTTCAGGGACAAAGATATTTGCTATATTTTTAGGGTTTTTTAAAATAGATTGAAAAATTAAAAGGAAACTAAAGTGAAATAAGAAATTTAATCAAACAAACATCTTTGCTTCATCTTCCCAATTTTACTGAAAAGCATGTAAAAGCCATTACTCGGTCTCTTATGGAAAGCGGCTACTTACAGCTTAATCTGAATTTTTTTAGTTTGACCTTTTGGAGAACTGGAAATATGCCATATATCCTGTACCAGTGTTGGCATTTTGTGAGAAGTAGTGTTGAAATTATGTTGCTTTTGACTACCATTGCATGTACTAAGATCCCTATATTTGGCAGATGACTCCATTATAAGCTAAAGATTTGGTGATGATGTTTTGAACCCAGGCTCATATTGTAACAGAACAGAATAGAGTACTCCCTCGCTATTTAACTGCCCAATTTTCATGGACTTGCTGTTTCATGGGTTTTCAAAAAATATTAAGTTTTTATTTATTTATTTATTTATTTTACTTGGTGCAGGGTCTCTCTCTCTCTAGCTCCAACTCACAGCGATCCTCCTGTTTCAGCCTCCTGAGGGCTGGGATTACAGGCATGCCCAAGCGTGCCTGGATTCAGTGGCTGGCTGGGCTCAGGGCCAGCAGACCATGCCTATGGAGGATCAAACCTGGGTCCTTGAACTTGCCATGCAGGTGCTTAGATTGCCAAGCTATCTCCCCAGCCCTAATCTAAATTATTTATAACAGGTTTTTCACTAAATTGAGGGTTTTTGCAGTACCATACAGTATACTTACATTGTTAAAATTATGTAGGTTTGTGAGTTTAAAAAATGGCTAAGAACATTAAAAGTGTTTTTAAAAGTTTTGGAAGGTTTTATAACAGTGTATGAAGGGTTTATAAACCCTTAAAATATATTTCGATACTAAAATAAATATGACATTGCTACTCGCTGATTTGCACTTATGGCAGAGGTATCTGGAATGTAGCTTCCATGATCAGTG